GAACACCTACTTTCTTCCTGATGTTTTGTGTGGATGTTCTACACTCGGCAATTACAAAATGTTGAACTGAAACATCATTTAAATCTATCTCAGCTAGGAGCAGGTCTCAATTTCCATTTTTTATAATGTTGATTTACAACATTAACACTGAACTTCACACTGCACCACTGAACTTCTTGCCCTCCAGTGCTGGCAGCTTGTGCCCCATTTCAATAAAACAAGCAGACTGCAGATTCAACCCGAGGGTGTGTGTGTGTGCGCGCCTGTGTGTGTGTGTATCGCTGTGCTAGGTAGGTTGGTATTATGTGTGTTAGCTGGTTACTAGGCAGACCAGGATGTAATTGTCTCTTGCAGGTCAGCAGCAAGAGACTGACTCTGGCAGGGTTGAGGGTTTGATTCCCTCTGGACCTGTTAAAGAGTAACTAAAACTCCAAACCCGCTTTTTCAGCTTAAGTCCACTATTTATTTATTTTTGTGCAAAGTATTTGAACTCTACATATTATGTTATAAATATATATAAATATGCATAGCGACTGCCCTCGACTGCAGCGAGAGTAGAGTTATAGTGAAGAGTAGCCGTTACCCTTTCAATTAGACGAAGCTAATCAGTACTAGCGTACACATAGCTAGCTCGAATGCTAATCTGTAGCAAACACATGCATGTAAACTCAAACGGTAATGTAAAAACTGTAAATTCTTAACGTTAAAGTATCGTAGACCAAGCCCAACATTTCATGTGGTGCTTTGAATGTTCTGTTACAATTGCAAGCTAGCTAGCTAACTAGCCTGTCGTACAGTGTAGGAAAGCGCATCGCTATCGGCAGATAATCGATCATTAACACTGATTCGGCAGATTTTGTAATGTGCAGATGGCTTAATTTCACGTCCACAGGAAAGAGGTAAAAGGATTGTGCTGATAGATGTCTTAGCCCCCCAAAACTCAAGCCTAAACTAGTTTAGTTGCTCTTTAAAGAACTGGCAACGCACAAGAGTTTCGTCAAACTTGCTTCAGTATCGACATCTCATGCTGTGAATGCAGTTCACAGGGATTTCCTCCGCCAGAGACGCTGTGGAGTGAGTGGCACTAGATTTAAGACGTCGGCCCGTCTCTATATGTCTGTGGCCTTCAGCTGCTGTAGACTAAACTGTCTGCAGTCGGGAGACAAGCTGTTCTAAATAGGTGCGTTGGGGGGTTTATCTACCAAACCCAGTGCCTTAAGCTTCTCAGTTGCAAGTATCTCACACATACACACACGTTGCCTTTCTATACTTGTGAAGACCCTCATTGGCATAATACATTCCCTAGCCTCTAACTCTTTCTTTAATTATCACAGCTAAGTGTCTAACCCCAATCTTAACCTAACCCCGAGCATTGAAACCCAACTTGTTTAAAACGCTGATCACAGCCTGGAGGGGAGACTGCAGGAATACATCTATGTATTCAGGCTAGATCTCTGTTTCATTGCCCAACTCCCAAGACCTATGCAGTATCTTTTATTAAATATTGTACCGTTGATTTTTATATCAAAGCTTGACCGTATAATAATAACAATCCTTTGAAGTTGTCCTCACAATGCAGAAATGTCCTCGCTATGTCAGTTGAAAACTGAAAGTTCGTCCTCATAGAAATAGCAATACAAGCTCTTACACACCCACCCACCCACCCACTCACACACAGAGTCAGAGTCCATGTCCTCCAGGCTGAAATGAACTCATATTTCCCAGTTATGTGGTGTTCAGTGAACGTTCCCAGTATGAGCACCACCAGACTACAACGTGACTAGTTTAAACCTGCCCTCAACGCACATTCAATTTCAGTTTAAAAACACATTTTATGCTCTAAGAACCTAAAAGAAACCCCAGAAATATTAAAGAATTTTTAAAAGGATTCTTCACAAATTCTCAAACGGCTTTGGAGTTGTATGTTTTCCCTTTAGTTCTGAATAATGGTACATCATACATTGATTTGTAGACCTGCAGTGGGATGGCCAGCAGTACTTATTCTTGCTCATTTTAGTTTTTCGTAGAATCATGTGGCTTTTCGTGGTTAATTCCTGTTGTGAGGAACTCGCAAGGGTCTGATTTTAAAGCCTCCTTCATCAGGTGTGGACTGCATTAGATGAGTATAGTAACATATACTTGATGTGCTGTGAGAATTTTTAAAAAGGCAAACCTTTGGTCGGGGTTTGCCATCCTCTGAAGTGTCAGCTCAGTTTCCTCTGCTGAGTCTATTCTGTTTTTACCACCAATCGTCTCTTTGACATTACGTCCAGCTTCAACCCTAATTCACCGAACAATACCGACATTGTTCTCAGCATCGTCTGGAACTTGGTTTTACTTCTTACTGACACATTTCCATGACCTGAGTGGATCTCAGATTGCTACTAAGTGAAGCATGAAGCAATGCATTAGAAATGTCCTAAACAATGTCTTTATTGTTACAATTAAATGTTTCCCAGTTTGCCAATTATTCTGATAATTTGGTGTGGAGACTAGCATTACACACACTATTAACTGAGCAGCAGCCTTGAATTAGATTTCCAAGTCTCATTATGAGTGAAATGTTGGAGAGGTAAAGCTATTGTTTTCAATCTGAGAATTTTAAAGCCTCTGTTTTGGCAGGCCATGTTGTTTTGTAATACCCTTTTTAAAGCGGCCTGTTGGGCAACGGAGGAGTCATAAACCGGCCTGAAAGCAGAACCGGAGCGTCAGCATCACACAGATGTTAGTATTCACTCAGGAGAGGATGACCTCGCAAGTAAAACAGACATCTTTCAAGGTATGAAAAAACTCAAAATCAGATACGTAATCATTTAAGTTGAAGGAAGCCTAGTAAGGATTTTTATACAGATATTAAAAGGCACTACGAGGAACTTTTGTGTGTATTGTGGCACCTCGTGTGGACAAAAGCAGTAGTGTTTCAGAGCACTTTTTGCTGGACTGGAGTCCCTGTCACTGCCTGCATTGTCAGCCGGCAAAAAGGGATGAAAGATGTTGAGGAAACTCTGAATCAATGACGTTCATTAGGAGAGACTCACCGCTCTAAGAGAATGTGATTAATCAAAGACATTCAGCCCACCAGTCATCTCCAAGTTATTTACAGATGGTCAACCACGAGCTGTTTTGTCACAGTGTTATTAGCTAACTCTTCCTAATACTTTCCAGTGAAGTAATCTGTTGCAATACAGCGGGGATGAGGAACTATTTCAAATGACACATCACTTTCTTTTTTTTTTTAATTCCTGAAATGAGATGGAAGCACAAAGTCGTATGTCACAACCACATCAGTCCAACTGAACGTTGCCACATCAAGGAAGGACACGTTAACGGATCGTGGTGAGAACAAATTGTTCAGCTGCCATCAGTTGTTTTTTGTTAAACATTCGGTTGAATTAAACTTACATTGTTCCATAGCAGCTCGGCTGACATCGTTATGCATCTGTGAACAAGACGAGCACCTTTTATCCAGTTTATAAATACTCTTCTTTCTAATTCTTAGTGATCTTGTGAAGTTTTTTGAGCTTTGATATGTTTTGTTTTTTTTGTTGCTGCGATCGGTTTTGTGCTACGTAAGCTAGCCATGCCAGCTGTCTGAGGCTAATGTGTTGCTATTACATCATTCTAGGTCTCTTGGTCTTATGGTGCGTTTATTTGAACTGGGAAGTCGTAATTTACGAATTCCCAGTCAAAGATTTCCACTGGAGCGACTACTCGAAGTCGGATTTCCTACTTGAAAAGTCGGCAGAACTTCACCAACCCCGACTGCAAAATTGTATATTTTATGTATATTATATAGCTTTGTTTGTAAAATAGCGATGCACGTTTCAGTCTGCTTGTGGTTGATGATTTGAATCACTAGACTGGTTTAGATGGTCTCTTCACTGGGAAGTCAGTGAATGACTTTGATGCACCGATGTACCCATGATCAGTGCACCGGTTGAGAGCACACAAGTGTGTGTGTGTGTGTGTGTGTGTTTTGTCCCAACAATGTTCTTGTTGTTACAACCATCAGCTATCGATCATGTGAGAACTGCTAATGACCTTTTGCAAGCCAGGATTGGAGTGTTTGTGTAATTCTCCTGATTGTGCATGTGACATGTTCGCACTCGTATGACATGGTTAGCTTGTGAAAAAAGAACACGCACACATGCATGTGACACAGAACACAATGCAACCCCCCAAACACACACACACACACACTTCATTTTTACATTCACACTACCTGTACACAAATATCCGATAAAGGTCAGACTCAACCACAGCATAAGCGAATCTGACAAGATGAAGTCTTGACATAATGAGCCGTGATGATTTTGGTGAAATGTCATCAATTCCAGCCGAATCAGCAAACCCAGATCAAGAGCGAGAGTAATACAAATGGGGGTTAAAGGGAAAAGAAGGAGAGAAGGAGAGAAGTGGGTCAAGAGAGACGAGACACACGTATGTATACATAAGAGAGAGAGAGATGTTACGGCAGCGGCGTATTAAAATGTTGGTGCCTCTCAGTTATTTTTAGGTCACACACATCCAGCCTGCTCAGCGTGATAGAAACACACACACACTAGTGCCACCTGTAGACAGTACATGTGTTGTGTAGACAGCTGCTGTGTGTGTGTGTGTGTGTGTGTGTGTGTGTGTGTGTGTGTGTGTGTGTGTGTGTGTGTGTGTGTGTGTGTGTGTGTGTGTTTGTGTGTGTGTGTGTGTGTGTGTGTGTGTGTGTGTGTGTGTGTGTGTGTGTGTGTGCTTGGAGTTTCCTTTGATGAAGCTAGGCTAACAGTTTCCCCTTGCTTCCAGTCTTTGTGCTAAGCTAGGCGACTGGACACACAAAGAGGGAACATTTATGCATATTTCCCTAAGTGAACAAAAACTATCCCCAAATATATAGGCATCAGCCTAAACAAAGCCAGTTGAGGAGTGTGATTTTTATTTAGTGCTTCTCCGTCCATCCAAAGGAAGTCTGATGGTGTAATAATAACGTTTCTCTCTGTGTGTGTCTGCAGGGTGATTGAATTCCTCTCCACTCTCTGCTCTGTTGGAGCTGGACTGAGCTGAGTTAGCAGACCAAAGGTAAACAGCATGATAAACGGCTCTTTATCGTTTCATATCCCGCCGTCACATGTGGACAGTTCGGTGCTGGGTTTGTGTTAGGACTGTCAACGAATATTCTAAATTTGATTATATTGAATTAGTTAAAAGAACAAACAGATATTAGACTATTAATTGATATGGCCAAAGAGCGAGCGTTTCGTTACGTCATGTAAACAAACACGAAGACGTAACCTCTTAAAAGATGGGCGATTAGTACTGTCTTCTGACGTTTGCATTATTTCAACAGAAAACACACATTTCATATCGTGATATTTACTCAAAACTTTCAGGGGATCTTCCTCCGGCCATCTGCCGCCTTTCTTAGGTTTTTGTAGTGAAATTAGGATCAATAAAATCGATCATTGCAGGCTTTCGAAGTGAGCAACAGGAACAAATAGAAACAGGACAAAATGTCTTTTGGCAGTTTTAGCCAATTTGATGGTCTCTTCTTGATTGTTTCTCCGTGTTCCCCTCACAGAGTCATATACTCTGTACGAGTGTTGTTTCTGTCACACTATATGGCCAAAAGTATGTGGAGCTCTTGGGAACTTCTGTCTGTGTTGGTTTGGGCTAGGCCTCCTCATTTCCTTTCCAAATCTTAATGATCCAATATAAAATCGTATTTTTTGACAATAGTGTGCTTTAGTTCACAATGCCCCCAAGCATGAATTTACCTCCAAAAATAAACGTTTTTTCCAGTTTGCTGTGGATGAACTTACCTGTCCTACACAGACCCTGACCTGAACCCCATTCAACACCTTAGGACGGGGCTTCATCACCCAACAGAGCCGACCTTACTGATGTTCCATTGGCTTAATTTCTGCAGCTTGCAGGTTCCAAAATGTGGTGGAAAGTCTGAAACCAGAAGAGTTGAGGCCATCATAGCAGCAGATTAATGCCCGTAAATTTGGAAAGAGATGTTCAACAATCATGGAAAGTATGGGTATAATATTCAAGTGTTCACATGCTTTTGGCCATATAGTGTAATTGGTAATGTTTCCAAAATGTTATGATTGTTACTATTACCAGGACTTCCAGTGGTTCAGTCCTCGGCTGTAATGTTTTTAAACTTGTCTTTGGGGTCTGGAAGAGTTCTAGCTGACATCTGGTTCAGACATAATGTGTTTTGATCCCAGTGTTCATAGTTGAGGTGTACCCAAAGTACAACATATTTTACTATTAACGTCCTGTTTTTCACTTATTGTCTCTCAGTCCGAGCATATCAAACCAGTCAGGCCAGCGCTCAGCTGTTGGTTAGAAAGCTATGTCGAGGTTTCCAAAATATATGTTCTCGTGGTGGCTTTGATGACAATTAATCGCTCCCAGCCTCGTTTGGGCTTCTGTGTTCTTTATGCTCGAGTTTCTTCAACCGTTGAGATCCGTGGAAAACTGAACGTCTCTGTTTCCCCACAGCCAACTCCGGAGAGCCAGGATTATAAATCTGTGGCCAGCGTGAACGGATTCCTGGATACTTCAGACAGAAGTCATGTCGTGTTGTGTAACAGCCTGAAGGGGATTGGTGTAAATAGTGGAAAGTGACATGTGTGTTGGGGGGGTTCTTCTTTGCTGTCTTTTGCTCTTAAACCAAGAAAGATGCTCAGCATTAAATATTGTATAAATCATGCTTGCCAGTTTGCTTTTGCCACATGGTATTAGTAAGAAACTATTATTATGCTAACAAGCTGTTTTGGTAGTGTTCAAAATATAATTAAATCTGCCACATCAGGACAAATGATGCTTCCAATGCTTTTAGATGATTTAGTATTGCTGAAAGAGGTTTATCTTAAAGTGGAACTACCATCATTAAAAGTCTATTCAATGCTATTGAAACAGTAGCAGGAATGAAAGTCAGATGGGCACCACGAATAATGTTGATTCCACGTTACGTCTTTGGGAACACTCGGTTGGGAATGTTGGTTTTTCTGTGAAGATCAGACAGCTTTTTCAGAAACCTAATGTGTGTGTGTGTGTGTGTGTGTGTGTGTGTGTGTGTGTGTGTGTGT